TGCATTTTTAACCCCAAACGTAGAGCCCAACTCCGCGTCTGAAGTTCAAGACGTAGAGTTCATTTCTAGAACGCGGATTTCGTGTTTGACTCGTTTAAACACGAGCTGAACGGTTCCAAAACCATTTCCCGTGATTTGAGGGGGATTACACCCCCACTAAGGAGCGATTTTAGGGGTTAGTTAGACCCCTTAATCCCCTATAAATAGCTAAAAATCAGTTTAAATCGGATATTCTAGCAGATTGGGATCAGCAGCAAAGATCTCTTTGGAGGGGGGACCTTTGATGATTTTCGGATCTGAAGGTTCGGATCTTAGCTTGGGATCTTTGGTTCGGATCTTAGTGAGGGGGGAGAGATCTGGGGATCATCCTAGAGGATCGGCTTTTGGGATCGCCTTGATTTTGGCTTTGAAGGTGGGATTTTCGAAGCATCTTGATCAGCTCCAGTTTAACTTGTCTAGAAAGTTTATTTCAGCTAAAAGGGATTGAAATCTCTTTTTCAAATCAACTCTTTTGCAGAGTTTTCAACTTGCTCGTCAAGTTCTTCTAAGCTCGTTCAGAGTTCTAAAATTTGCTTTGCAAGTTCGTCCAAGTCGTCGAGTCAAGAGGCGAAGACCAAGTTTCACAAGGTGAAGCATTCGGATCGTCAACGGGATACAAGAATCAAGCTCCCATCGACACCAAGAAGAACCTAGTTTTAAATAAATGGCAGGGTCTCTGTTGATCCCTTCTCTCTTTTGTAAATCGAGAAACCGATATATAGGAGTTATAATTTCTTTTTCTAAATCAGTTAGAGAGAGATTGCAAAGAGAGATTGTATTCATTCTTTTCCTAAGTCAGTTAGGGAGATTAATACAAAATTTTATTCTCATTTCTTCTTTAATTTTTCAAAGAACAATAATCAAATATCAAGAACAATCAACAAGGAATATGCAAGATATTATAGCAGTTCGGATGACAATCCTATGTCTACTCTTCCTTTTCAAGAAGAGACTTGTTCGTTATGCAAAGAGCTAACTTGAATCACAATCCCGATTTAGTAAACTTACAAGACCACACATTAGAATCCGTACAAAACCATTCGTCTAACCTAACTCCCACAATGAGTAACTCCAATTTGAGTACATTGTCAAAGAAGCTTAAAGCAAAACCAAAAACAATAATTAAAGCTTAGCATATAAGAAATATCTTATAGTCCTTTTGTTAAACAAACTGTCCTTCAAAAATATAAGCGTAGCTCGATGAGGAACAGTAAAGAAGATCAATCTAACAGCAAATTTCCTTGTTGAAAAGATATGAAGATGTTGTGCGTGACGAGTGAGAACTTGACGATGCTTCAATGGTAAAACTCTTCAACATAATCTCTCACAAATCAAAACCATAGAATTCTTCCCTCTCTTTCAATGATATAAAATTTCCAATAGGACAGGAAAGAGATATCCCAAACGTGATAGAAGTTAGAGAATATATAAACAATGAACAGTTGAGATTAAATATGAAAAATCTATAGCTAACATGTTTGCCATCTATGATGGCTCTCAACCATCGACAGTGTCGAGGCCCCATCAATGGTTGAGAAGCTCATCAATGATATAAAAGTCTCTGAAGTAAAAAAATCATCAATGATGTATTTTGACCATCAATGAGCTCTTCTTACCATTGATGGTCAATGCCTACCATAGACGGTAGAAATGCTGAAATTTACTTTTGAACTTGTTTTCACGTTGTTTCACCTCGTACACTTTTATACCTGTATTTACCTGTACTATATCATCTCAATTAATATTACTACCAAATGAGAGTTTGTTATTACTCAAACCAGAGATATGGTAAGGACTACATCTTAACAAAAGAAACGATTGATATTGGACTTGTTGCATCCTAATTATATTTTAACACTATTAACTATGTAAGAATATCTTAAAATAAAAACAGATTGGGATCACATTGTTAGCACCCATGTACATCCCTAAACATCATGTTTGCTACCTTTCCACTCCTTTTTTTAAACCACTTCAACAAAATTCACATTCTAGATCGTGGGTGTTCAAAGGCATGAGTATGGCCTTTTTTCAAAGAGTTCAAAATTTGTAGGCTGCACCTTTGACGTGATTTTTTCTGTCTCTCACTTTTCTACAAGGCAATGAGCTTTACACGTCTCAAATAAGTAGATGACTACATTGATATATAGCTCCCATTTATATAGTTCATATAACAACTTTAATTACATCCTTAATGAAAAAGAGAATGGTAGGTAGACTAGACTCAAACCACTTTGTTGTTTTTTTAAATTGTTCTCATAACATATTTGTCCTTCCAATAGTCCTTCTAATAGTAATACCGTTGCGCACAGCGGAAATTTCGGCAGCACTTTGGCAGCACAACAAGAGAGTCAGGTCGCAATAAGAATTCTTGTTTCTCAAAGGGAACAAGAATCTAAAGCCTATATCCTATCAAAGTAGGATATTAGCTCTTCCTCTCGTCAGCTCTAGGACTGCGCGTCGAGGGACCCTAAAAGCTATTACAAATCACACAAAAGCAGTACAACCAATTTTAACGTGGTTCGGCAAATTGCCTACGTCCACGGGGCAAGGAGGGGGGGAGATCTACTAATAGAGGGAGAGAATACAAATAGGGTTTACACAAGAATCTCACAAATAAAACCCTCACACGAGCTCTCAAATCCCTCACACAAATCTCTCTCAAAGAGATGCACAAAACCCTAAAAGGGACTACACAAATCTCCTCAAAATTCGCAGCCGCCAAAACAAGCTTCTCCTGCAGCTTTGCTTCTGTTTTGCAGCCGAAAGAAGACCAGCCGCCGAAAAAAGAAAACAAACGAACCTCCTGCACACCTTATGCCCTAGGCAATGAATAGTATATATAGGCTTAAGTTGGAGTTCGGGTGGGCCTGGCATTGTTTACGCGGAAATCAAAAAACAAAATCACGTTCTGCTCCCAAAACGCGTGGACCCACACACACCACGTTCACAGTATCTATTTCTTTTAGTCTCACATTGTTTAGCATACTGAAACCTCTTCTCTTGCTCTTTATTTAAATATCTCAGTGCAATGAATAAAATAGTCTATTTTCTTCAAAAAGCTCAATTCTTAACACCCACTTAAACAACCAAATATTCCCATTTCAAAACTTGGACTAGGAGAAAAAAACTTTTCAAAAATTGTCTCAGTTGATTATCGTATACCTTCAATTTAAGCTGTGAAGTGCGTGCGCTACAGATGTCACATGTTTTGGTTTGGACGACTTTTTCCTACATATTTTTAGTTTCACAGAAATAAAGTTTTTCATAGGCAGATAGTAGCAAGGATGTACTTTAGATCTTTGTGAACAATGACTATCACAAGTTCCAGTGGTCCACGGGTTATTTGTATAATTTTGAAATTTTATAAGATTTTTCTCTTGTTTATAGGGGGTTTGTCCAAAGTCCAAACCATATCCCAAGTTTAGAACAGTTTTCCGAAATTTACTGCTATTTTATTATCAACGCCTAAAGTAACTTTCTAACTCATCCATATCAAATTTGAAGGCACCTTCTTGTTCTCTTTTAATTCTCGAGTTCAAACTAACAAGTAAATTTCTCAGCATTCACCTCTCATCAAAAGATGTGAATTTGTAAGTCCAAGTACAAGTACATCTATTAAAAAAGACAAAATTACCCCTATAACAATTTCACAATACTGCTAATATAGGGCTATTTCGGGAAATAGCAAGTCAACTGAATCCAATAGAACAGTGCGGAAAACGAGGGCTCTGTGCTTACACATTAGAAACTTCTTAGCATCCTACTCTGCTTCGTAAGTTCTAGACTCAAAAGACAATCTTAACCTTCACTAAAAGATTGGTATGTTTGCCTTATATTTAGTTCTTCTAAATTTTAGTAGGTGTTTTTGAAATTATTGTATTTAAAAATGTATAACTGTATATTCTCTAATAATCCAATTTATTTTGGTTGAAAGAGTTAAACTATTTAAAAGTTAAACATATACAAAAAAATAAAACCTTAAGTTTAGACGAGAAGAAAAGAATCTTAACATACATGAGAAGATCAACATAAAAAAATGTTTACCAATTTGCCAAATATAAATTAGAGTTAAGAAAAAGATGATGAATTGCAAAAAGCTTCATGGATTATCAATGTTTATCAATGTTTGATAGTAAAATTTTTATGTTTGATAGAGAGCATGTGATATTCTTGATGAAAAATGTTGTTATTCTATTAAAATTAACAAAAAGTACTTCTAAATGGTACAAGCCTTTGAGGTATTAAAAAAATCTCTATACATTACTTTAAGGGTAAATTATACTAAACCCCCATGAACTTTTAGTGTTTTGTATTAGACCTCCGTGAACCTTCAAACTCGCTATAAAACCCCAATAACTTTTGTAGCTAGATCCCCCACCCGGCCACCCCCACCCCACCCCAACCCAAAAAAACCATATTTTGGATAAATTACAGTAAATCCCCAATAGCTTTCAAAATGTCTTTTTATGTTATTTTTTTGTTCTAATTTATGGAGGTTATCTTCAAAACTCAGAAAGCTATTGGGGATTTTCAGCAATTTTAAAAGGAATTTAGGGGTTTAGTGCGATTTTGAAAGTTCATGAAAGTTTATTGCAAAATGCTGAAAGTTCATGGGGGTTTTAGTATAATTTATCCTTAGCTTAAATTCAATAGAAATATGCTAGTATTTGTCATAAAAAAAATATACAACTAGAGGATGCATAGGAAGTTTCTTTGCAATCCAAGAAAATTTTAGTCTGACTATTTTATAAATTATGTTAACTGCATCTGCATTTTACTAAACTGTAAAATGATAAATTTATAATCAAACGCGTCTGAAAACAAAACGCAAAAGTTGCTGCCAAACATAAGCAGAGGAGGGACGTATTAGTCTTTTACCCATCTTGAAAATTATTCCCAAACTACCCAGCTGTTCTCATCTCATACACTCCGTCGCAACTTCTGAGAAATCTCCTCTCTTTCCTCCTCGCCTTCCTCTCAACCGAACTCCTTAACTCATCTCAAGCTGTCATCTCCTATTTATTCTCATTCTCTGCACCCTACCTCCTCCCAAAACAACCCAAAAACTTTTATTCCCAAAATACCCGCTACTTTCCTTCTTCCAATGGCTAGCAACAGAGCAGTCGGGTTCGAAGACTACCTCCCGACAATGGCAGAGAAATTAGGTGAAGAGGGTCTCATGACGGAGCTCTGTAATGGGTTTCGTCTGCTAATGGATCCGGGTACGGGTCTGATAACGTTCGACAGCTTGAAGAGGAACTCGGCCTTGTTGGGCCTCGGTGGGCTCAGCGATGAGGAGCTTAGGGGGATGTTGAGAGAAGGAGACATTGATGGTGACGGAGCTCTTAATGAAATGGAGTTTTGCGTTTTGATGGTCAGGTTGAGCCCTGAGTTGATGGATGAGGCGTTGGATCAAGTCATGCATAATGGCTTTCGTAATTTGTAGCTTTTTCTGTCTCTTTTTCAAAGCTTGTGAATGACGAACGGTAATGAAATGAGCACTTTTGGGTTCTCGTATTTGTGTGTGAAGTATCTGTTTTCTCTTTGAACGCATAATATATACATTTGATATGAAATGCTCTTTACCTCTATTTCTCGGTATCCCCTCCGATTAATTAGATGGTTAATACTTATGAATGTTCCGAAACATTCATGAAAATGCAGGTGCTAGGATCTGTAAATTTTGAATGTTCTATTATGGTTCGAGTCAGTTCACTCGTGGTTTGGATAGGATTTGAAACCAAAAAAAAAAAAAAAACTTTATTCTGATCATAATTTGGTTTTATTTTGACGGATGAGGTCACAACAAATTTGAATATACTTATATAACAGTTAATTAATGGAACAGGTGAATATGTATCTCGTATTTTTTTTTCCTCCCATTTTATTTTCTTTCCATATTTTCCTTAACGCTTTTTCATTTTTCGCTGCATCATTTTTTTTATCTCTCTGTCTTTTTTAAATAAATATAATCGCATTAGATCGAATTATCGGTATGCGAGCAGATAACTCTAGGCCACTCACAGGGGCGATGGGGACTAGTTGGGATTTTGCTGCCCTCGTGAATGACACAGACAAAGCCACTTGCATGTTAAGTAGTTCTGATGCGATTTTTTTGTGCATCTTTTTCGTTCTTTAATTTCGTTGGTATCTTTAACTATGAGATACATTATGTTGCTTTTCATCTTCAGTCACTGTTGGGGGTTATTGTTTGATTCTTTTTCTCAAATAAGAATGTCTGATCTTCATTCTACTTGTTAAAGAAATACTGAATTGACTTTAATCTTCTTGTAGAATAATCATAAATTAATTTCTCGCAGATATGGCATTGAAAAAAAATAGAGAATGTCGCATGCAAAAATAGTTACAGCACCATTTAGCTTAAATTTGCTACTGTTGTTAAGACATTTTTAACTTGAAGGCAATAGCAACACTCTTATTTCTTGGCTCCTTTTTTTTTTTAACAATCATCTTTTGTGTTGCAATGATATATATGCAACAAACATGCATTTTAAAATTTGAATATAGTTAGAACAATGTGGAGCTCCAAGTGTGCCTTTCCGCTATGGCGCTATCCATGTATTATTATTATTATTACTACAATATATTTTGCTAAGTCTATTGATGTTGTCGATCTTTTAGAGATCTGAGGCCTCATTTCTCTCTGCTCTCAAAAGACAATTAACACTATTCATATATAGTCAATGACCAATTGTACCTGGCAAAGGTTTGAGGAAAGTCGAAAAATGTTGGTTTGTCTAATAAAAATTATACCGCGGGGATCTTAATACTACATTTCAACTACACGAAACTAAAGTGCTGCAATAATAATGCCGGTAAGTCTAGTGTTTTTCTCTTTTTTGCCCTCTTCTAATTACAAGCATCATAGTAAGTCATTCAAGAATATTCATCAGCACAATCGTCCTCTTTCTTTCACAATATTTACTTCTAATTAAGAACCGCTCCCCTCTATGTTGAAATTAACTATGTCCATAATTTTTTTTATCAAATAGTCAAATTAACAAAAGAATGTACAAAGAGGAATGAGTATCAAAATGCATACAACTTTCCTTTTAACCTGATGCAATGTCATAACTACGTAGAGAGAGCAAGACAACTGTAAGGAACTGCTCTGAGAACATGCTAAGGAGCTTCCGTTCCTGAAGACATGCTCTATAGGCTTTTATCATAAATAAAAACCAGAACTTCATTTTCTATTTATAATTTAAACCATTAAATGTTTTATATATACTAGTCCTCCTCAGTTATTTTTTAAATCAAAATGTACACCAACACGTACAGCAACTAGTGTTAATGCCTTCAAAAAAGCTATTTGGCTCGCGGTTCAACCGCGAGCCCTCAACTCGCAGAGAGGTGAACAGGGAGGCAGGCCCTACTGCTGTGGGGCCGCCTCCCTGTTCACCTCTCTGCGCGACTTGAGGCTCGCGCGTTGAACCGCGGAGCCAAATAGCAGACTTCTAATGCCTTGGTGTGGAGGCAACCTCCTGATCTCAACAATCAGTCGTCGACATGGTGTGCATCTACCGTGGCCAGTACGATGTCTTGCTATGGAGGTAGCATCTTGATTTCTATAACAACCTATTGCGACGGCGTGCGTCCGAAGAGCAGCTGTGAGTTTGGGAGGCACCATCTTAATTAATTCGTGTACCGTCCAATCCGAGTTAATTAGAAATATAATTCTCAATCTACTGAATTCTATCTTATAAACGATATAATATACAACTAAGTAACATTTATATCTCATAGACATTATTTATCAATAGAAGCAATCAATATTCGGAATCATTGCGCATTGTGCGGTGTGCATTAAAAAAATGGAAAAGTGATTAGAAAGCTCGACTTGTATGACTGATCATAAAATTGATATGCATCTAACGCAAAAGAGAGGTTGATAGGGACTCAATGTTAGATATAGATGCCATGCAGGCAATAATTATATATTATAACAGGACCTATATAAATATAACATCTTTATTCAAAATGATAGTATGCTATTTTAATCAGTATTTATCTGGTATTTTTTAAATACAGATAAAGTCCTTAGAATGATATTAGACTATCCGAATTTCGATAGTGATCGTAATGTAGAAGAGATCTGATTAGTCGCTAACGTATATTCTAAAATATTCCTAGTCGATGAAGTGTTGAGATAGGACATAATCACTTTGGTAAAAACTAGTGTATACTCTATTTGTTCTTTAGAAGGACGATAATCCATCTCTTAGATCATTGATGCTGAGACATCAAGATACAGTATACAAGTGACTCATTAGTGAATGAGTTGACTAAACGACTCACCGAGAATGTCTACTTGATAATTATACTTAACTGTCAAATAGAAGTTCTCAAGTGATATAGTACAAAGTAGTCTCTTGACCTGAGGCATGGGTGCAATATCAAGTGATATAGTACAAAGTAGTTCTTGACCTGAGGCATGAGTGTAATATCTTACATATCAGTATAGGTGTACTTAGACTTTTACCTAACCACAGTTCTCATTGAGGTTCTTGTTGGGTGCATCCCGAGACATAAGTAGATATTGAGTTGCCAATATGGGATTCGTCTCTCCCAGTATATGGGGTTGATGCCATAACATTGTTTGATATAACTATATCCTGAAAATCCTTGACCAATGTAAATAAGATACACTGAGTGTCAGTTTGATCTTAAAGGTTATGAGTTTAATATCAACAAACACTAATCAAGCTATTAGGGTTTGACAGTTTACCATACCCTAGGCTCGATAGTTTGACATGTTAGACCCTAGAGGGGGGGGGGGGGATTAGGGTCTTATGCTAATCTAATCCGATTTTATACCAATTAAAACTAATTAATAAATTATTCTTATAAGAGAGATATACAATATGTTACAAGCAAGAATAATCAATATGAACAAAGAGCAATATCCTAGCAATGATATATACTATGAGATATATGCGAGGATATACAATGAACACAAAGGTAAACAATCTAAACTAAATAGTGGGTAATATAAACAACAAGCAATATACAAAGGCGATATAAGATATGAGCATAAGAAAGGTGCACCAATGCAATCACAAACAAACGATATGATCACGGAGTTCGGACCTTCCATCCTACGTCTCCGCTCCCCTTTCGCGAGGAGAAATCCACTATCACAACCGGGTTTTCTACGCTTACCCGAACAATGTTTACACCTCACACTATGGTTTTCTAGTTTACTGAAAACTCTACAATCAACACTCTTGCAATCTCACTCTACACCCTCTCAAGTGTTGGAACTAGACGTGTCTCCCTCAAGTGTTCGAATACAACCTCTCCCTAGGTTCGTCAACTGACGCCACTCCTCTTGGGACGATCCCCGACTCTCGCCACACTCTCCCTAGGTTCGTCAACTGACGCCACTCCTCTTGGGACGATCCCCGACTCTCGCCACACACTTCTCTCGGTGTACAAGTGTATTACAAAGTGATTCTCACAATAAGCACAAATACAATAAATGGTTGTTCTCTAATATGGATGAGAATACAATGAAAGCTCACACTCAATAGTTACAACTCTCACCAACCCAAATATACAATGTATGCAAATACAATAAGCTTAAGTGGGTGTGTGTAAACAATGAGTAAAATCAAATCAACTAAACTCAATATAAAACTAGCTTTAATAAAATGATAATCAAACAAATAGATGTAAAGCTAAAAATAGAGTTTAGAAACTTCTCAATAGATCAAGAGGTAGAGGGAGAATAGTTAGATGCCCAAACACCAATAGATGATCTCCTCAAGCTCTTGTGAAATTGATTTCACAAACTCAAACTTTCAAATGCATAAAAGCTTCTTAAACAAACTTAAACCCTTGTTTAAAACTCTTTAAACTTGTTTTAAAATATTCTCTTTCTTGTTATGAGAACTGAGATCAATGGGGTATTTATAGCCTCCCAAAACCTCAGCCAAAAACCCCAAACAAAAGACCAAAAAGCCTAAGAATCAGAAATCTGATTCTGTACCAAAATGACTGTTGGGGTCGTGGGGGGGGGGGGGGGGGGGGGGAGCCACTTTTGAGGCTCAGAAAATTCCAGAAACTTTGACGGTCCACCGTAGCAGTCGACCATGGGAAATTTCGAGCTGATGGTCGACTGTGGCGGTCGATCGTGAAAGTTATTGTTGGCTCCGTAGGTTAAAAACAAAGGCGCGGTCGACCGTGGCGGTCAACCGTAAACTGACATATGAGAAAACAGGTTTGAAAGTTAATTTTCTGATTTTAAAACCCTATTTAAAAATATCAAATAAATTCAAAAAAAATATAAAACTTTGGGGAATGATTGTAGACATGATAATAAACATGCTACAAAGAGTCCAAAACATGAAAATGTGAACATATGAGTTTTGACATATGAGTTTTCAAAAAGGACCTCTCAAATGAAAAATATCATAATTTTGTAAAATAGTCCAAAACATAAAAATGTGAACGTATGAGTTTTGACATTTTAGCTTAACCATGTTTTGAAATAA